TACAGCTATGCCAGATTCCTCGATCCGGAGAAGTACCCTTCCAAATTATAACTTTAATAATTTAGCTTCAATGCACAATTACTAAATCTGGAATCACTTGAAACAATAGATTCATTATTAAATTTTGTGGAAATTATTACAAATTTATTAACTCACATGTCAAGTGGCCAATCCATCTACAATTCGTTCATTCATTTCGACAGCAAAGTTGATACTGGCATATGCCAGTGAGCCAAATTCCACCGTCATCTTGCTTGAAAGCAGCTTTCGAAAGAAGAAGCTGTCGGATGATTGCTACTGGCTTTTATTACCACTCGGGCTACTTCCTAAACACTTCCGCTTCCCACTGAGAGCAAACATGAACACTTTTTTACTTTTGACTCATTTCATACATTTTACAAAATTTAGGGCGCAAACTGAAGTTTTCCTCCATCTTTCATTAATTCAGTCTTTCAGCACTACAAGTACCATTTTGATAGTGGTAACCGTTTTCCAGGTGATTCCGCCGATATCACTCTCAACAACTTACAAACAAGCGTACCCCGGAAAGCCAAAAAAGCATGATTACTCACGAGCTGGTAATCCAACACGAGATGTCCTGGAAAAATGCTTAGCTTCTTTGGAGGATGGTGAATACTGTAAGCAATATACTCCTTACTTTGATCTACTGCAGTTTGTAGCTTGGCTATCCAACTGTTCAGCTAACTTATACAGTTGCTTTACAACGAGCTATGTCGCCTGATTAGGACTGCCAGTACGCTGACTACCAAGCGGTGCAGCTTTGGTCAAAAATGGAGAAACAACTATGAATTATAAACTAAATTTTCTTCAGAACTGATATTTTTAGGCCGAGTATTTGCAACCGGCATGGCTGCTTGCATGGCAATTGCAAATCTTTTGAAAAGCGGTGATCATGTTGTCTGCTCAGATGATGTTTATGGCGGTAAGCCGCTTTCAGCTTTCTGCAGTCTCTGGATTCGGCAGAGTATTTTTGTTTCCAAAAGAATATAAAAGCAAGAGATTTTGTTACTTGAAAAATTAGATAATAATTACTGTTTCGTCCGTTCAGCCACATCTTTTTACATTGGAACGAGCCTCCAGTTCAATTTTATTGAGTTTTTCCTGGTCTTTTGTTGAGTTTTCTGGACTGAACTTAAATTACTGAATTTAGATGCTTTTTTGATTTTCACCCAAAATTCGCCTAAAATCTTACATAATAAGTAAGCAAGTACGTTAGCGCCGAAATCTTATGCTTGTTTTATCAAAATTTTTATTATCCTGCTTCAGTGATCCCTCATCTCGCTCGCTCCTTATAATGAAGCTCATGAATTTAAAGGCTCAGGATCATAAATAGACCTTGTTCCAGCTGTGGCTTGGTACTTATAAATTTGGCATATTGGGTACCGAAAAAGTTGTCGAGTTATTTTCCAGTTCGCCTTTCCCGCAGTTACCCCTGCTTAACTACCACTGGTAGGAGCGCGGTACTGAGTTTTTGCGGAAGAAATAAGATTTGAGAGTTGTAAAACTTCCAGCTGTAATTTTTTGTGATGCAGCACATTTCAGGTACCCAACGGTATTTTCGAAAAATCTCGATCCCGCATCATGGCGTCGATGTC